AAAATCATTTTGTATTCGTTGTTTTTCAATTTCTATATCTGTACATCTTGTTTGAGAATCCTTAAAACGAAAAAATATTTTATTTTTCTTAATTAAAAATCTCGAGATCAATACTCGTAATTGTATTTCTATATCTGAAATCAACGAACGTTGTTGATCAACTGATTGTACAAGTTGTTGAATATCTTCTTTCTGTTGTTCATTTTGTTCATTAAAACGTTTTAATTCATCTTGTGCTATTTGTAATGAACATTCAAGAGATTTACTTCGACTATTCGTATCTGCACAATCAATCAACGCTTTTTCTAATTTAATCTTTACAAAACAAAATAAGCTTTAAATAATTTATACAATCAATATTACTTTTGATTCTTGTTCAAATTTTGTATGTGATTCAGTTAATTGAACTAATTCTTGTTTTATCGGATCTTCATTCGGATGCTAAAAGATTAGGGAAAAAAGGGTGAATATTTTTGTTTATCACATCCAAACTTACACCTATCAGCATTTGAAAACATCATTACTAATTTCATCGTCGCTCAATAATCATATTATTTCAACAAATCGTTACACTTTTTCAAACTTCTAAAAGTGACAACTACTTATGAAATATTTAGTTGAAAATACAATTATTATGTTTTATTGAGAAACACAGAGCAATAAATAAAAATGGCATAGCCTCTACATTTGTAACAATATGGAAACAAAAGTTCATTGTAGTATAGACTGAGCGATTTCAACTTTAACATAGATCATTAATCAGAAACACGAAAAAATAAAAATTCACTATTTTATCTCTCTGCACTGAAAGTATGATATTAATTCAAACTTCACTGCTAACTATCAAGTTATTGTTTAATTAGATTCTGTACTCATATGATAGATGCCAGTATAAGTTATGAATTTTCGTCTGTATTTTTCAATGAAGAAATCATATGATATTTTTAAAAAGAATGTTTGATAGCTTGTTTCACTATACATCATTCACAATTTATCAGCAAGATCAACTATTAGATGTAGAATGACAAATATTTTCTTCTATAATACTTTTGATACGACTTAAATGTGATCAACTATGGCTAAGAGTGAAAGAGCAATAAATTATAGTATGTCATCGAATATGGATACTAGTATAACGTTTTCTTCAATATTATCATCGATCTTTAATTTAGGAAAAATCTAATTTCAAATAAAATATTACTACTTAAATAAGAACAAATTTCGATCATTATCAACCTTTAACACAGCCTTATATCAGATGTTAATTTACATCTCAAGATTATAATATTTTCATACAATATTGATACGTATAAGTCGTATTAAACAAATTGAGTATTTTATAAATTTATTGTAGATTATGGAATAAATTTAACAACATTCAAGTATATGACTATAATGTTTATGTTTATGATGTATAATGGTGACAACGTATATGATTACTATATATATGACTATAAATATCTGTGTTTTCTTGTTCGTTTTCTTCTTTTTTGTTGTAACATCTGACATAAGGTTGCGGTAACGGTTGATAATGATCGAAAGAATGATCGAAAATTTCCAAATACAATAAAAAATTATATTTTCAATACAAAACTACATAAACTTACTTTTCATTTAAATTGATTAAATCTCTAGATTGTGATATTTTTATACATATAGCAATATCTTTGCTTTGACAAAATAAATACACATTAGAAAAAAGAAAACAAATATGAGATTATCTTAACGATAGAATAGTCACATAAACAGAAATAGACAAGTCGACTGAAAACTTATTCTCATAGCGATTATCTTCAGCTTGAACATTTGTTGTTTTGCATTACATTTTGTTATATTTTAAATATCGAGTATATCCATCTAATAGATACAAAAGTTCGTTGTAACAAAAATCGATTGTCGTGCGTGAAATCTATAGAATATTAACGTGTATTTATCACATACTTTTACAAAATATTTCACTGTATGCTAATGTCTGATAAATTATAAATTATAATAAAAAGATGTCTCTGTATATTGAGTCTCCAAACATAATATAGTTGATTAAAGGTAAACCAATGACTTATGTACAGTTTCAAAGAACAAGTTAAAATTATTTTTTCCTACATTCTTTCTTTTACTCATATACTACCTATAACATAGAACACGTGCATATATTATCAATAAATACATGTTGTTATTCTTTTTTTTATTCTAGATAAAATATCGAGCAAGATGCAATTTGAACAATTACCAAATGAAATACTCATTGAATGCTTTCAATATCTCAATGCACCTGATATCTTTCACTCATTTGATCGATTAAACTATCGGCTTTATATACTTATTCGAAACATAGATTTACATCTCAATTTTGAACAAGTGAAAAAGTCTCCGTTTAATGAATTTTGTCAAACAATACGATTAAATCCGGAAATAAAACGAAACATCATTTATTTAAAATTATCAAATATAGATTTACGTGGACAAACTGAATCATTTTTTTCATTATTTGCATTAAAAAAATTTATTAACCTTCGATCACTATCAGTTATTGACATCCGTCATGATGATATAAAACAAAATTATCATACTGAACGAGAACAAGAACACGAACGAGTCTCATCTATGTTAACCTTATTACCTAATTTATACCGATTTTATGCTCCTGAATGGAGATTAGAAGCACAGGCTATATCTAAATCGAAAATACAAGTGTTATCATTATGGAAGTATGATCTAACATTTCTTTGTGAAATATCATCAGTTACATCATTAAGAATTCGTTTCTGTACTGCACGTGAGTTACGGACAATATTGAATTATACACCGATGTTAAAATATATAAAAATCGACAGGTTTTCAGAATATGATATGCTATACAATATATATTATAGTATGCAAGATGATAACAATGTGGACTATAAATCCGATTTTAGTAAGATATGTGCTGTTCATTTAAAACAGTTACATCTAGATGATTCTGAGACTTCTTTTGAAATTATCGAACAATTGTTAAAATGTTGTCCAAACTTGAAAATCTTTTCAATCTTTGCCAAAAATGCTCGTAATATGATTGATGCTAATCGATGGCAGCACCTCATCGAATCTTCATTACCACTATTACGTATATTCAACTTCGACTTTCATTATCGCCATTCTGATCCTTACGATAATATGTTGATCAGGCTTTCACCATTCCAAACTGATTTTTGGCATCAACACAATTGGTATATCAATTATGCAGTCGATAACGAATTTACATCAGTTTATACTATACCATATTCATTTACTCACTATACATTAACATCTACTATGAAAAAATACAATAGTCCATCGACAAATGGTGTAAATGAATTTGATAATGTTAAGTATTTATCTTTGTTTACTGGTGCAATTAGAGACGATTCATCATGGTATTTTCGAAATGTTCAATCATTAAGTTTAGCAAATATTCGTTTTTATCGTGTTAAAGACGATGAGTACGAATTGAAAATAGAACATTTGAAGACGATAGTCAACCTATCAAATATCGCAGAATTAGAAATTACAGAAGAATGTGCAGTTAAATCAGAATTACTATTTGAAATATTAAAGCAAATGCCAAATATATCATCATTAATCTTAAAGAAGAAAATTACAAGTTCATTTTACACCAATCACGAACTCTGTGAACTTTTGAACAAAAAGATTAAAATGTTCGATTATAGTAATCCAGCTTCCACTAATTATTTTAAAATCCAAGATTTAGATTGGTTTTGTAAAACATTTTCAAATGTCGAAGAACTGCATTGTGATATCGATAATGTTGATGATTTTTTATTTATATTAACAAAATGTGCCAAATTATCATTAATAAAAATCGAATGCGTTAGTAAATTAATCTATAGATGGTTTGAACTCAATGCATTAACATTAAATGTTTACATTAATTATGAACTAAAATATGATGAATCAGAAATTGATTAGATTAAAGAAATAAATCACATTTGATCATGTTTCAGATTTGTTTTGTTGTTCAGTGCTTTTATTTTAAGGTGCCAGAAGCGGAAAAAAAGTACCAGACGATAGTTTTGAACGAATCACATATTGCTAAATAGAGGAGATCACGAATGTATTCTTCCCATAATTTGAAGACCAAGTTTTTGACCGAAAAAAAATAATGATTGGACAATTTGTAAGAAAATTCAAGATTTCAATCGTTTAGAGCCACGGATATGTTCTGAATCTAAATTATTTCGATTCAGCATCAACAACTAATTTGATCATAATTTCTTTATTGCACAATTTCGATTATAATTGCGTACAGTCATCTTATGTCCTCACCGACACACACCCACACCCAGCGAAATTCGCCAATGATTATACATTCTAAATCCGATGGATACTATCAAAACAATACTGTAAAGCTAAGAGAATATTTGAAAGGATAATTAAATTTATCGTATTAATTATAAGTTTTGTTAATCACAATAAACTAATATATGAATGGTAAAACAAGGATATTTATTTTTATTTGGGATCAAATATTAAAATGTGCCATAATCAAGTAAAAATATGAAAAGAAACAGTTCGCAATTTGAACTACTTGCAAGACAGAATCAGATAAGTGAAAGTTAATTTGTTTGAAATACTTAATATAACTCTGCAATATTTAAACTACCACTATTATCAGCCCCACCAGCAAGTAATACTAGTCCATTTGATAATACAGATGCTGTGTGAGCATGTCGTGCATTATTCATATTACCAGTAGTTGTCCAAGTACTTGACGATGGATCATATAATTCAGTACTATTGAATGAACTTACAAAATTCCATCCACCAGTAACTAATACTTTCCCATTGGATAATACCGATGCTGTGTGGCCCTTTCGTCCATTATTCATGTTACCAGTAGTTGTCCAAGTACCTGACGATGGATCATACAATTCAGCACTATTTAAACTACCATTTATATCAGCCCCACCAGCAACTAATACTTTTCCATTTAATAATACAGATGCTGTATGAGTATATCGTGCATCAGTCATGTTACCAGTAGTTGTCCAAGTACCTGTTGATGGATCATACAATTCAGCACTATTTAAATAACCATTACCATATCCACCAGTAACTAATACTTTTCCATTTGATAATATAGATGCTGTGTGACCAGATCGTGCAACACTCATACTGCTAGTATAGAACCATCCTACAAGTTATATTCTTATATATTTAGACTATACAACATTAAATAATCAAACACTCAACATTCATTATTCTTGTACAGTATTTTTCATTATTCTACAAATGACAGTCTTTCATATATTATTATGATATCCTCAGTTTTTGTATATTTTCTATTTTTGTCTGTTATTCCAATCAAATATATAAAAAATGTTTGTCTCAAATTAATCACTGTGATAATTACATTGACTGATGTGTTTTTCGATTCTTAACGAAGTTAACAAGTTTTGATCGAACGGTATTCAATAGAATAAAATACACGAACTTCTCATCAACCCTTTTATAGTTCTCTGTATATAAGAACATAAACTAGTAAGAGAATGAGTGATTAATCCGGAACTTTATGATAATTCAGTACCAAAGCATTGCTACTTCTTTTTCAATCTTATTCTCATTGATGCTTCATATCTGATCAAATATTTCAGATATAAAATAAAAGATGAATCTAAAGTTAAAGATAGTATTTGATGTCTATAATTGTATAGTTATTGATCACAGAATGAGAATCTTAGATTTTCTATCAGAACTGATTCATCTATTTTACAATAAGTTTACTATTGTTGGTCAACAATGTCTCTTAAACTATATTTAACATAAATATAAATTACTACCACTAAAGAGATGATCTATAATAAGGATTTGCATATTCCAATCGGTTCATTCATATAATCTTGTTGTTTATCCAACAAATGTACACATAAAAGCATATTATAAAATCATAATCTCTTATTCTACCAACTAAATGATATATGAAAGTGTATTACTATATCATAGATCTACAACTATGAATAGAATAAACTATTCTAGTTGAGTGTGATGCAGTCTAAAATGTAAATAATATGTATTCGTACCTGTTTTACACATTTGTGTTGCTAACAATGGTAAACATACTGTTTGTGGTGAACAACATGAATTAATAACGCATACTGAATCATTTGATGAACATGTTTGTGTAATATTATCACATGTTTCTAATATTGAACATAAAATAGCAGGTGCACAATAACTAATATTATTTATTGTTCGATAATCAAAACAAGGTGTTGATGATGAAAGACAATTATTGTTATCAATCAAACTTGCATTACATTGTTGTAAAGAACAACTTGATGATTGATTCCAAGCAGTATGAGATGATGACAATAATGCAAACTGAATAGAAACATCATTTTCACTGCATGAGTAATCAGGTAGTTCTGTAGTTTGACCTATAGAATTCATTTATATTGTGATAGAGTCAAATGAAAAGAGATATGATGAAAAATAGAGGTGGGCGTGAATGAAGATGCGAATATTTTGACTGTAATACTAATACTCACATACACTCCATCATCACCCATACCCTATTTTTATGTTACAAAGAGGTGTTCTTACTAATTGTGGTTGTAGTTGTAGTTGTAGTTGTAGTTGTTGTTGTCGTTAAAGGCAAAACGCTGAATGTCCAGAATGTTGGACTACTCACTGGTGCAGATTCAACATCTATAAGATTTCATTATTTAGTCAATATTTCTCGTTCAATCGATATGATCAATAGACAATCACTTACGACAATATGTACTTCCACTTGCTACACCTAAAGTGATAAATAATGATGTGTAGGATTAGAAAAATATATATATGTAGAAGTTTGTGCATACCACTATCGAATGTAACATAATAGGAATGTCCAGGAGTCCATGGTGCAACTGGAAATTGAATGATGACTGAAGAACCTGTGTATGTTACTTCAGGTGCCCAACCACAATCAAAACTTTGAACAACTGCGTTAGTCGTAGCGTCATTGAAGTAAATATATGTACTATTACGGATTGGCGTAAAAATGGATGCATCAGCTAAGAAATATAAATACATTTACATCAATAAATAAAAATGACAATTGGAAGAGTATATATATATATATTACCTTGAATTAGAAAGACGGTTTGATTTTGAAGAATATTACCGGCTGGTGTAGCTGAGCTTTGAATGAGACTAATTGCACTAATATTAACTAAGAATGTGATACAATATGGGTCTGATTGGAGACCACTATTATCAATTGCTCCAGCACAAAAGCCTTGAGGACCAGATTGTGTTGCTGTCGGTGTCCATGTCAATATCATTGTCCATATATCTGAGATATTATGTTTGAAAATGAAAAATTTGCATATTCTAACAAACTACTTACCAGAACTTGAATTACTAATGGCACTATGTGTCATTCCAATAGGTGAACTAGTGACAATATCAACAATTGTTTGTCCAGGACAATATGTTTGTACAATTACAGTTTCATTGAGCTGAATACCTAAAACATAGATTTTAAATATTAGAAAAGAAAAGGCATTAACTGTACTTACCAATTGGAGCTCCAATGCAAGCTAAAAATAATTAAATAGATAAAAGAAAGTATTATAAAATGTGTGAATTTAATTTAGAATAGAATACACATTCATACCTGTATTGGGACGGGCACCAATAATTGAAGGACGTTGTGCACATGCACTAGCGGAAGTATTGTATGCATAGAATAAGAATTGGACTGGAACTGAACTCATTGGACTCGTGGAAGTAGAATTATAATAATCTTCGATTTGTAGTGCACAAGCATAATAAAGATTAGCAATTGGTAAAATGAAACTTAATGTGCAATTGGATCCGGTGAGGGTAGTTCCAGAAGGTAATCCACTGCAGATACCTCCACATTCATCATAATGATTGTAATTATATGTCGAATTTGAATTGGACCAACGACATTGCAATATATCAGTAGCATCATTATCTGCCATTTGTACAGTATGAACTACTGTTACAGCCCTTTGGCAAAATACTACTGGTAATGTATTTGTAACAGGACTGGAATTAATTAAACCATCAGGTCTCAAGCCTAAATCAACTCGACTAACAATTGACCATGGAGACGCAGCACCAATATAGAGTGTGTTTAGCCACCCACTAGAGGGAAAGCCAATTGTAATCGATGTTATCAAAGGCAGTGCTAAAGTATCATAGCGTTCGCCAGCCCATGTTTCAATGATCGGGTTCGCATCACAATCTGTACTTGTCATAATGGTTGCAAGTCCAGTTGAAGAATAGTTAGAACTTGAGCAGTTTCCTAAACAGGTCATATAAGAATTGACTGGAATAGGTGTTTGAGCAGTGACAGTCGCTTCCGTGCAATTCGGGTTAGGAAAAGAGACCCATTGTCGATTCCAAAAATACCTTTGATGTATAAGAATTTGTGCAGTGCTACCCGTTGGTATGCTGTTTAAGGGACGCCTAAGATAAAAAAAGACGAAGAATATAAAAAATAAAATATGCAAGATCAAATAAAGGAACAAACATTAACTGGGTGTATATACTTACCATGAAATAATACCACCACGAAAATGTGATCCATCGATTAAAATCTATAATGCAGACAAAAATATGAAGGCAAGGCGCAAAACCCGCTTCATTTTGCTAGTGTTCGTCTGTTGTTTCTTCTTTGTCTAATGAATTATACGATTACACAACAAACTGAAATTCAACGTTTATGTTTATAAAGTAAGTATAAAATGAATTTTTTTTCTTCTTCTGCTATACGTATATGTTTGTTTTGAGAATCTTTGAGAGAAATTCATTGTTGGTTGTCGATGGAGTATTTGCTCTTGAGGCGAAAAAAAATAAGCAACTTTAATGCATTATTTTTCAACCTTGATAGAAAAAAATCTGATTGAGATTTAAATGGTAATCACGATGCTAATCGTTTTGAATCTATTGTTACTGTGAAGAGACCGAAAATAGTGGATATAATTTTCTCACACGTATCAATGTAGAGATGTACAAATCATGCACTATTCGCAAGATTATATCAACAGAAAATGCTTTATTGAGCCTTTAGATAGAGAGATGGAAACTAAAAACATACCATATTAATGTCTTTTTGATAATATGAAATCTGTCGAAAAACAATATGCTAGGCACATATAGATTCTTCTTTTAATTATTTTATTAATTTAAAAAAAAATAACTTTATGCTTTCTTTATATGTTAAACCAAAGAAATTCTTCAAGATGTATAAACTATCGCAATCAATATATTGAATGAAGAAAGATGGAAACAGTTTTGATACGAAAAACAAGTGTTACAAATGGCTTACCGTTTTCTTTTTCTTTCTTTCACTCTGTTTTACTGTTATACATACCTGTTCTTTATGTTCTACTATTGACGTACTTTATCAATCCATTACGTAGATATTTATCGACTACAAAATTATATTCAATTTGAATTAAATCATTCCTATGTTCTAGGGAAGTAAAACAAGACAAACTTGTTGATCTCTTTCTCCACGTGACAATTTCCAAGCAAGTGAACCAGTTTACGATGTAATTCACTTTCTTTTGTCGATTTTTCTTCATTTAACATACTGACTATATCTCATGTTTTAGAAATAAAAATCTCTTAATTCTTTTAGAACGGAATTATTTCTAGAACCAACTCGTTATTTTTTATTTCATTAAAATTCATTAAGATTCGAAATTCATATGAATTAGATTCACTCTTGAGCTTCGGATGAGCGTGGGTATCGATAAAACATAGATTCGTCCTCACCCACACCTCCAGGGCCTATACTGTGTACTATCTGTCCCGAAAGAATAAAATCAATTGATAAATTTACTTTGAGATAATTTTTACTTCTTCTTCTTGATTAAGTTGAGGTTTAAGTTCTTGAATAATTTGATGAATTGTTCGTGCAAAGTTTGTTTCTTTAATATGTTGTCTTTGTATAATTTGTTAACTTATCAAGTCATTGCAGATAAACCATTAAATACTATATCATCAGATGAAGATGCTCAACATAAATATAAACTTGGTCTTGCTGCTTGTGTTAAAAATCCTAATCGATTAATTGTTTTTCATCGAACATTAAGAGAATGAAATTAAGAGTAAGATATTTTATTTTAATTAAAAGAAAAAAGTTAATACAAAAAAAATTAATTATTAACGTTCTCTTGTACGTTTATTATTAAACCAAACACGAATCTGAGCTGGCGTTAATTGAGTTCGAGTTGAAAGATCATCGATTGTAGTTTTTGATACATATTTATCTACTTTATAAAAATGTTCTTCAAGAATTTGAATTTGTTCCGGAGAAAAACGACGAGTTTTTTCTGGACGAACCTGAAATACAGAAGAAGAAGAATATATTGGACTACTTACTTGTTGTTGAGGTATCGTAATTGGATAATAATATGGATATGGTTGTTGAAAAGTACAATAGCCAACAGGAGGCGGTTGAGGAACAGGATTCTGAACAGGACAATAATATTGATCTGAAATATAAGAAAAAGAATCATCACCTGATGAATAACCATAGGATGAATCAAGAGGATATGACATGATTTGTAATATTGAATAATGTTTGAGTAAAACAAGTATCGATATATATATATACATGATAGAGATTTGAAAGCAATTAGTGATAACGGTTTGTTTCAATTATTGATACATGCATAATTAAACAACAAACGCTGAGTTTGTTTCTTTTCTGTTCTGTTATATAAATTTCTTATTAAAGATCATTTCCTGATGGTCGCAATTTCGATACAAAGAAATTTGATGCCATTCTGAAAAATACAATTCTTACTATCAATACTCGTACTGGTCAAATCGTTAATCAATGGAGAATGAATACAATAATCTATATTTCAGATTTTACGTGCCTCATGGTCTTTCTATTGATACAGTAAGAAATCTTTTGTTAACCGATGTTGCAATGCATCAAATAAAATAACATCGAATTATTCCTCGGTTTTTCTCAAAGTTTTATTCACATTATGTGAAGTATTTGTACCCGGCAGTGATCCAACACATTTTTGGAAACCAACTGATGTTGCTGATAGATATTGTAATTCTCGCATTACTAAACTTTATTCAAAAGGAAAATTTTTAGAAGAATATACAATGCCTGATGAAGAAAAACAACTTTCAATTCCGCATAGCATTATTCTTATTGAATATCGAAAAAATAATTTTTTATTTCTTTAATAGAATTGTTTGTTTTGATGATGGACAAACAAATGAAAACAGTTTATGCTTTTACTTATTATGCAAATAAACGTAGGATTTTATTTCAAAAAACATTTAATATTAATAAATGATTTTTTTCAATAAATCGTCTTTATACAGTTAGTGGTAAAAAGTGGAAAAAATCGAGCAGTTAGTTTTACATTTGATGCTCATCCAGAATCATTTGGTGGTTTGATTGCTACTTCGGAATCAAATGAAGTTCGTATATGTTTAGAAATTTGGTGAATCACATGGTATAGCTTTAAGTGTAGGTGGTCATGCATTATTCGTTGGTGAAATTCGTCCAAATCGTATGGATGCATTTGATGTTCTCGATTAATTTTCAGGAATGATTCTTTTTTTTTCTTATTTCTTGAGCAATAATCAATAGTCATTCTTTGTTCTCAAATATTATATCGAATGATTTCAATACATAAATAAATAAATAATAATCAATAAATAATCAATGATATATACTTATCTTTTATTATCAGATATATGAATTGAAGAGAAATACATATCGAAAAAATAATTATATACTTAATAGAGTAGACTACTATTGCTTAATCTGTAGCGCAATCTTTGGATAATCTCACTATGATACTTGATAAGAGATATTGAAAAATATTTCATAACTCCAGCTAGTTTTTCTTTAGAAATCAGCCAATTCTAGTATTTTATGTATGGCGCAAAAAAGACGTATGGAGTTTTATTTGTTAATAAAAGAGCAAATGTTAATGCATCGAATAGATAGAGAAGTAAAAAGGTATCCAGAAGGTTTTATCTGATTCATAGAGAAAAAAATACTTTTGTCAAGTTAAAATCTGTCTAATGAAATTTTTATTTTTAAAGCTATAAAAATAGAATCTATAAGTAATATTGCTATTCATGACATAGATAAAAGTTTATTCGATAGTAGAATAAGTTTAGTATATATTTATGACTTTTATAACGACAGGTGATAGATATGATAGCCAATGTTTTAATTTATATTGAATTAATGATCTGCAGATTAAGACGATTCCATAGACAGTGGATATGGGTGTGAATGAAGGAGAGACACCCACATCCTGAAGATCTTGTTTCAAAAGTTTTTGATCAAAAAAATTCATCGTTAACTGATAAAGAAAATCAACTCATTAAAATATATGAATCAATGATAATAAAGAAAAAAGTAAAAGAATTAGTTTTCTTTAAGTGATATGGAAAAACATTGAAATTGGTTTATTGATATTTGTATATTGTTATAAATATACTTTAATCAAAAAATCTTATGGTCGCGTTTGGAAATTATTTTTTGAAACTAACTGGAGAAAAATCTTCATCACAACAACAGCAATATGATAATCAATTATTTTAAGTAAAGTAGTTTGTCCATTACTTTATATTTACAGTACTATTCAAAAAAACTTGCACATCTTATTATGTAAATATATTTCCATATATCAGTCACTCTCAAGTGGTTTCCATAACTGGCTGATCGCCTATGCCGAGTACTATTTAGCACTATACTTCAATATTTTATTCGTTCACCTTTAAATTCAATAAGAGACAAACATCATTTTTCATCGACATCACACAATTTTTTACAACATGAATTTTAGTATTATTGAATTCTTCAGTTAAAAAAAGTTCCAGTTCATCAATGTTTTACGATCGACCATAAGTTCTCGATAGGATTAGCATTTCGAGTATCAGATGGGCACTCCAATAATTCTAATACTTTGTTGTTGCTCAATTGTTTGGAAATATTGTGAGTATGATTGCAATCATTATCTTGTTATAATCACCAATTTTGATGAAATTCTTGTCTAGCAGCAGAAAGAAGATAAATTTTTAGTATATGAGGATACTATGAACCATTAATTGTCGATAATTTATCTTTAATTTCACTGAGGGGTATTTAATTGATACATCGAATATATTGAGTAATATAGATTTTTTCTGTTTCCATGAGGCACATAGTCGACCATTTCCTCTTCACTGTTTAAGTGAATTTGTTTGTTTCAATTTATTTATATTGTAATAGATAGTCCTTGATGATATCTTTATTTCATGATGAATAGCACGAGTGCATCCCATCCCTATGCTACAATAATGTAATGTCTATATATACGGTAGTTCTTTGAATCAGTAGATTTTATCATAATTAAATGTTTTTGTATTAAAAAGAAAAGAAATCACACTTTTATATAGCCAACGTGCAGTATATCTAACGAACAGATATCACTGGAAAATTCAAATTTGTAATGACTTTCAAACGGTAAGAAAATCGTTATACAAAAAATAAAATTTTGTGCAAGTTTTTTTGAACACCAGTGTATATCGTTCATAAATGACTAAGGTTATTTCAATGATAAATATTTCTAAAAAGTTACACGATTAATAATATTTTTTTGCAAAAATTGATCATTAAAACAAATCATATAGAAGTTCTTCAGTCGCAAACTATTTTTTTTCTCTTTTATATACAAAATATATGTCATTTTTACTGCATTGATTGATCTATTCATCAATATAATTTAAAATATATGTGACTTTTTAATCTCTATTCTTAGAATTTTGATTGCTGCAAGTACCTCTCTTATGTAAAAACGTGCCTGGTCAATGCATGGCAGTTTGGTTATAACATATTATTAACTAGTTTCATGTTACGTTTTTTTAAAATATTAACTCATCTATGATATGAAATATAATAGATGATGACTAGATATTTCACAGTTCCATATCAGTTCAGGTGCATCTGAAAAGATCTAATCACGGATTACGCGCTTCAATAGTCACATTCCTTTTCTAAAATGACATGCTATATGACTATTGCATATAAATACTTCTGTAAAATAAATCTCCTATCATCCATCATTCACATGTTGTTTTACTAGAAGCAGAGTGTACATTAGCTATGATGCATGTTCATTAATACATGATAAATAATATTTGCTTTTTTATTGCATCTAAAACTTATTTTCAAATGTTGTATATAATATTCTGTCTCATCTTTTT